ACAATAATATATAATAATGTAATGATAATATATTAATTTTTTATCTTTTAAAAATTGTAGGGCCAGGGATTTATCTCAGTGGTTCCTCCACCTGCTTCGAAAGCACAATGACCCAAGTTCGATCCCCAGTACCAAAAAACAAAAATTGTATTAGTACATGTTTGCAGTAGACAAATATATTAAAGAGTGAAAACAACTGTCGTAGTCCATTACCAAACTAAATGCATTTAACAAAAGTCCTCATATTAGTACCAGGGATGTAACCTAGTGGTAGAGTACTTGCCCAAGGACCTGGGCTTAATCCCAGCACCAAGAAAGAAAAAAAAAGGGAAGGAAGGAAGGAAGGCAGGCAGGAAGGCGAGAGAGCACACCAGCCAGTTATGGGGGTGCACATCTGTAAATCTAGCACAAAGGAGGTGGAGGCAGAAGGATCACAAGTTTGAAGCCAGCCTAGGCAATTCAGTGAGACACTGTCTCAAAATAAAAAGGGCTGTGGCCAGGTGTGGTGGCGCACACCTGAGATCCCAGCACTCAGGAGGCTGAGGCAGGAAGATATCTGCAAGTCTGAGGCCAGCCTGGGCTACATAGAGAGGCCTTGTCTCAAACAACCAAAACTAAAGAAATAAATAAAAAGGGCTGGGGGATATAGCTCATTATTCCAGGGTTCAATCCTCTCTATGGCATAAATAAATAATGAATGAATGAATGTATGTTTTCATACTTAAAACACTTCTGCTGTGTTTTGTGTCTTCTCCTTCCTTCTTTCCTTCCTTCCTCCCTTCATTCTGGTCTCATTCTACTCTTCCTAAAACTTTTATCTCCAGCCTTCTGCTAGATAAATGAGCAGTAACACTTGGTTGCACAGAGAAAAGGAATCTTAGAACATGATTCTTAGACATTCAAGCAATCCATTCTTTTCAGCCCTATTTGTGCCCCCAGTTCCAGAAATACCTCGTGCTCCCAATTCCTAAGACTTTTGAGAGTTTTGTTTTTGGTGTACCTGTGTGTGTGTACATGTACGTGTGTATTGTCCTGGGGATTGAACCCAGAACCTTTGGATTGAGCTATATTCCCAACATTTTTAAAATTTTGAGACAAGGTCTTGCTAAGTAGCCCAGGTTAGGCTTGAACTTGTCATCCTCCTGCCTCAGCCTCCTAGAGTGCTGGGATTACAGGCATGCATCACCACACTCGGCCTGTAAGCATTTTTTGTAGTACAAAATAGGGTGCTTTTTTAGCTAAGCATGGTTGTGCATGCCTGTAATACCAGAACTCAAGGAGGCTGAAGTCGATGGATCACTGAGAGTTCCAGGCCAGCCTGGGCAACATAGTGAGTTCAAGCCCTGCCTGAATTACATAGTAAGACCCTGTCTCAAGAAACCAAATAAATGGGCCAGGGATTTAGCTCAGTGGTTTCGCCGCCTGCTGCACAAGCGCAAGGACCCGAGTTCTATCCCCGGTTCCAAAAAAAAAAAAAAAAGACAATGAAACAACTTCAGGGAGACAAACGCTAGGGAAAATGGCTGCTACACAGAGGGTTGTGAGTGCCTAGAGGGCCACAATTCAACCCAGGGAGGTCAGAAATTCTTCCCAGATGAGAGAAGTAAGCTGAGACTGAAGATCACGTAGAGTGAGCCAGACAGCATTCTAACCAGAGTGTGTGCCCCCGGCCAATTCCAGTGGCACAGTCAGAACACTTCACTTCACTCCGTGGTTAAGAGAGGCCCTCCTGGGCTCAAGCAGCACTTACTGTGTACTGGAGTTGCTAGTCTGTCTCCCTCCTTCCCTAAAGCCAGACTGTGAGCTCCTTGAGAGCAGATCCTGGCCAGTTCATTTCGGGTGCTCTGCCTAGGGTTGGTGAAGTCACATTCAGTTCTGACTCTCGCTGCTTTCCTGTCTCCAGAGGCAGGGCGGGCTGTAGCCCACTGCTGGGAAATGAATCTGAGGATGAGATTCCATAATCCTGTGACAGTGGGATCCCCTTACTGTGACAGCATCGCTCCCCAGAATAGAAGAAAGCAAGGCTTTCTTACCAGAAAAAGAAACATTCATTTCACACCATCTCTTTGGAAACAGCTCAGAAGAAATGCAGCCTTGGAGGCTACTCCAACCCAATCCTCTTCCCGAGGGGCTGCAGGCACCCTACTCCTCTCCAGATGCACATCAGACTCTGCCCAGCCCTGGAGTCCTGGGTATGGTTCCCTCTTTACTCAATCCAAATCAGGGCCTTGGGTAAGAGCCTGGATGATCCAGTTTTAGCTCCCTGGGGGTGGACTGAGATTCTAATACTGTTGTTACCCAAAAGGGTCTTACAGACTGTCTGGTTCCAGTGTTCCCCCTTTCTCCTACCCACCCAGGGAGAAAAAAGAGAGACAGGACCCTACTTAAGATCACAAAATAATTCAGAAGCAGAGCCAGGACTTGAACTCCTGCCTTCCCCCTCCCTCCTAAAGCTTTCTCATAAACTGCTCTGTGGAGGTGGGTTGTCTTAGCAACAGTTCTTTGGGTGGGAGAAGGTGGGAGGGGAAGTTGCTATTGTTCCTCCTTTCCACAGATCCTAGGGTCTGACTTTACCCAAACTCTGATTTGGGGAGTGAAGCAGAAGGGAGGAGGGCAAGAGGCAGGGCTGACCTCAGTCTCCAGGAGAGCCCTGCCCCTCCCTATAAGGAGTACAGGGAGATGGGGACATTCCTCAGAGGGTGTACCAGTCCTGCCTCTCCTGGCTTCAAGGGAAACCCTGGTCCTTCTTGGGTACCTCCTGTGTGTGGGCAAGGCAGAGTTCTTGAAGAGATCAGTGGCATCCTAGCCCAGGAGGGAGCAAGGAATGGGATAGGAATCCCCTCTGCTCTTCATGTGCAGTCTCAGGCCCCAGGCAAGATGGGTCAAGAATACAGAGGAAGGGCCAGGGATTTAGCTCAGTGGTTCCGGTGCCTGCCTCACAAGTGCAAGGTCCCAAGTTCAATCCCCGGTACCAAAAAAAAGAAAGAATACAGAGAGACGGCTGGGCATGGTGGTACATGCCTATAATCCCAGCACTCAGAAGGCTGAGGCAGGGGGATCTCAAGTTTGAGGTCAGCCTGGGCTACATGGCAAGACTGGATAAAAAAAAAATAGTACAGGGAGAAAAAATAAGAAGTTAAATGTACTACTCCCTTAAAGGTTTTTTTTTTTTTTTTTGGTACCAGAGATCGAACTCAGGACCTTGCGCTTATGAGGCAGGCAGTAGAACCACTGAGCTAAATCCCCAGCCTTCCTTAAGGTTTATAAATGGGTAATATCCACCAAGACAGGAAAGAGTGAGAACCAGAGAGGTCAGGCCTGGCTCCAGATTCCCTGAGTGAATTCAGGCAAGCTCTTGAACATCTGCAAGTGTGTTTCATCTGTGACAGGGGAAATGATGACCACTATGTTCATTTCAAAGACACAAAATGTGCTTAAATGTCTGGCACAAAGGAGGTGTCAACCATAAAGATGTAAAGTATGGTCAGATAATCCAGGTTCAAATCCTGACTTTGCTTTTTATTTTTTGGTACCAGGGATCAAACTCAGGACCTTGTGCTGGTGAGGCAGGCGTGGCACCACTGAGCTACATCCCTGGCCTTGACTTTGTTTTTTACTATGTACATGAGTGTGGGCAATTAATAAACCTCTCTGTGCCTCAGTTTCTTCCTCTATAAAGTATCATCTATCTAACAGGACTGCTATATTAAGAGAATATCATGTAAGATGCTCAGCATGATGCCTGGCAGGTATACTTAGGTAAAAGTTCATTTTCAAAGCAGAGCAGACTAGCAGGCTCTTTCTGGGCCCTGAGCTAAACTTTGTATAATGAGGCAGAGGGGAGAGCCCCTTCCCCCTCCCCGCCATGGTACAGTCACAGCCCTGCTCTGGAGAATGTGGCATTCACCTCCAACCTTCAAGGCCAAGTGCACACTTGGCATTCAAGTCCTGCCCCCAGGGAGTCTTCCCTGACTGCTCCACCCACCAGACTCTTGGGGCTTCTCCTATCCAGCCTAGACTGGTCTGGGAGCTCCCAAAAGTCGTCCTTCCTCTTGCTCCTTCCCAGATCAGCTTGGGAGATCTGGGCACATGGTGGGGCTCCAGGAAGACTTATTAGCTGACAAACTCACTGTAAGCTCCTGGTTCTGGGCCAGGAAGCCGCTGGCAATTCCTCAGTTCTCAGAACTGGCTGCAAAGTGGTGGCAGGTGTAAATCACCCCCTTCCCCAGAACCAGGGCCCTGGGGAGCCTGCTGGGGCCCCAGCTGCCCTTTTGGCTCTGAATCTAGACGAGCAACTCCAGGGAGAGGAGAAGGCTGCTGCTTCCTCTTCTCCTCAGGAAAGTTCGCACTGGATCCTGAGGTGTGCAAGGAAAAGACAGCCGGTGAAGGATCCACACAGACTGTGCTGCTGCTCTGCTCTCAGGTTTCCACTATAGGCCTAGAACTTTCCAGTAATTTAAGTGGCACAGGGGGGATGTTGAGACAGACAGCTGTTTTCAGCCCCAGGCAGTTTTCATAGATACGCCACCACCCCAATCTCTTCTGTGCCAAATCCTGTCATAACATTTGGCCTCACAGGAACCAAACACTTTCCCAGTTTGCAGAAGGGGTGGTGGGGGGAAACAAAACAAAACAACTGATTGCCTTATAATAATTGGGGCTGGAGGAGTAGGTGGCCCTCTGTGGGGAGGAAGAGAATTTGGGCTGGGCTAGGCTCTCAGTATTTCCTACCCCTCATCTCCCCTCTCCCAATTATTTGGCAGAAAGAAAAAAAAGACTTAAAAAAAACCTGTGCCTCTACTCCCAGCCCTTAGGATCCATCAACACCCTACTCCTCCGTGGGGGATAATTAAGGGATGTCATTCTGCCGCTGGCATCTCAGGGTCTACGGAATGATCCTGGAAGGAACCTGACGAGTTAGGTGGGGAGTTTTTAACTCCCTCGCCTCCAGCCTAACTCTGGTGGGCGAGTCTGTCCCTTTGGCCAAACGTCACACTCACCAGCTCCATCCTCAGCGCCAGGATCTTGTCCCCCAGGCCGTGGCTGGTGCCGGGCGCCCCCGGGAGCAGCAGGGCGCCAGAGGGTCCGAGCTCCCAGTCTCCTCGAAGCCCGCGGAGCAGCCCTTCTGGGGTCTTCCTGCCCACCTTGCCCTCCACGTCCCGCAGATCAAGCGTCTGGGTCTCCACGGTCCCCTCCATGCGGGTCCGAGCCAGAACAGGGCCGGGCGGCCGCTTGGGTCCCGCTCCGGGGGTCCTGCTTTCGGGCTGCTGAGGCGGCGCGGAACCCGTGGGTCCCCGCCCGCGCGGCGAGGGGGAGGGAGGAGGGCGCCGTAAGGCTCTGAAAAGCCGCGCAGAGCGAGGGTGGAAAAATATTCTAGGACTGCACACAACCTCTGGCCTTGGATGGCCCGGGGCTGGGCGATCCTAGCAGTGGGAGAGCTCAGCGCCTTCTCCCCAGCCAGGCACTGAATCCAGCTAGGCGCACAGCAGGCGTCCGTTAAGTAATGGCCAACGAAGAAGACTCTGCTGCCCATCGGTTAGAGATGTGGGAGTTTTAGAAACCGTGGCAAGAGAGCTGCAGAGGGTTTAGAAAGCTTCCTGGAGTAGATGAGCTGGGTCTGAAAACAGTGTCTAGAATCTAGCTAGATATTCACACGCACACCTCCCTGGGGTTAGAATTCACACTGATGAAGTAGGAAGCGAGAGCAACCAGTACTAAAGCAGGAGTCCGCATGGACTACACCTGCATGGGCTTACACGCAAGTTGCTTCCTACACTCGCTCGCGGTCTGCAGAGATGAATCATTCGCAAGCCTTGTTAAAATGCAGGTTCCGCTGAGCACGGGGACTCTTGCCTGTAGCTCCAGCTATGCTGTGGCTGAGGCAGGAAGGTCAAGAGGTCAGGGCCAGTTTGGAGAATAAAGCAAGACAGGTTCCGGGTCTGTAAATTTGCCTTTCTTTTGTTTTTATTTTGTTTTTTGAGAGGGGGCTGGGTGGGTGGGGTGTGTCTTAACTATGTAATGCAGGCTGGCCTTGAACTATCTTCCCCAAGCTATCCCCGAACTCATGGTGATCCTCTTGCCTCAGCTTCCTGATTGCTGGGATTAAGCATGCACCACCACACCCAGCTACACCATGAGAAGTTTCAAATCAGGGATTGACAAAACATTTGCCTTTTTGAAAAATTACTCTGGATTTTGCAGGGAGAGAGGATTCGAAGGGTAAGACTCTGGAGTGAAGAAGACTAGTTGAAAGACAAGAAACAAACCTGGACCAGGGGCTTGAGATGAAGTTATAGAAGAATTAGACCAGGATAGAGGGCTCTTCAGGAGGTAAAACTGACAGGAATGGGTGACTGATTGCATTCATTTATTTAGAATGGCATCCAATAATTTGTTCAAGAAACAAATAATGCTAGGCGTGGTGGTGCCATGAGTTGGAGGTCACCCTGAACTGCAGAGTGAGACCCTGTCTCAAAACAAAACAAAATAAAAACCCCATACCAAACCAAAGCCCTAGGTTCAATCCCCAGTACAGAAAAAAGAAAAGAAAAAATGCCTGCCCTCACTGACTACTGAATCTAAAATCCTAGAGACAGAAGACTGTCATCTGTATTTCAACAAGTCCTCCAGGTGATTCAGATGCAAGTTTGAGAACTACACAATGAGCTAAGTGATTTAAGCATCTTCTCTTTTAAATGCCACAGCTTCAGGGTGGTAGCAGTAGCTCACCGGTAGGGTGCACGCATTAGGCCTTGGAGTCTGATTCCCAGCACTGCAAACTAAACAAAATAAACTTCATAACTGATTTTGTAAGCATTAAGAGCAGAATCTGGAGCCAGGCCATTAAGGCTTCTATTCCAGCTCTCCCAGTTTTGAGACATTTTATTTATCTAAGATTGGGATAATGCTGCGATTGAACTACGCCATTAACATAGACTGGATATGTTTGACTTTCCACAATGTCAGAATTTATTATGTAACTAAATTCACAAGCTATGTCAATGTAAGCTTTTAATATGATGAATGCTCTAGATCTCTAGGCAGTCTCTAGAGTACTTCTAGGCAATACTCTACTACATCTAGGCAATCATGGCTCTTTTCTTCCAATCTTTGATTTCTGTTTTGGGGATCAAACTCATTGTTCTGCCTCACCCTCCTGAATGCTAGGATCACAGGCATCCACCACTTTATTCCACCCTTAATTACTAACACCTATAGCATATCATGTCACACAATAATACATAGGTTACAGAATAGCTAAGAGAGGGTTAACAATAGCCACAGGATTCAGAATCAGGAGTGAAATCAGAGGGCCAACAGAGATGTAAACAGTCAACAAAGGTGGCCAGATAAGATGCAAACCCCTACAGGCAGAGCTTTTTCTAGGTGCTGAGCTTGTTGAGAGCAATAAACTTGTTGGCAGTTCCAGAGGGCACACAGAGCAGGGTGCTCCATCTGAGCGGAAACCAGGATAGCTGTTGATCTTTTGACATGTTTACCAAGTGGTCTGCTAGGATGAGGGTCAGGTCACAATATGTGTGCTGCTGTACCCCAGTGTTAGGCACCCTTCCTTTTACAGGATTCAACTGAGGCAGTTTTATCATTTGTTGGTCTAGTGTATGTAATAAGATCACAGGCTGGTTCTTCTGCTATGGCTTTGATATCTCATGTGTTCCTGTGCCACTGATTTAATTTGATAACTGACATAATTGACGGTGGTGTTTTTTGTTTGTTTGTTTGTTTGTTGAGACAGGATCTCACTATGTAGTTCAGACAATACTTGAACTCACCATGTAGCCCAAGCTGGCCTGGAACTCAGGGCCATACTTCTGAGTTAGCCTCCCAAGTCCTAGGATTACAGGTGTGCGCCACCACGCTGGGCTCAGTAACTATATTTATTAGCACAGTTGATTTATTTATGTTTATGCCTTCTGAATTTTTGCGGGGTGAGGGGGATACCGGGGATCGAACTCAGGTCCTTGTGCTTGCGCAGCAGGCAGGGAAACCACTGAGCTAAAACCCCACCTCTGTTTATGCCTTCTGATTGTGCTGTGCAGTTGGGCACTGTCCTTGTCAGTAGTATACCCAACATCTGTGCTTATCTATTTGCACAGATGAGTTACCAAATCATTTTGCTTTAGCACTTGCATTCACAGTAGAGCAATGCTGTCTTATAAACTACAGTCACTGAGGGCAAGGCAGAACAAGGCCTGCTTGCCACCAACGATAGTGCCGAACTCATGGGTTACTGTGGAATCGAATGTGTTAATGTAAGTTAAGTGCTTACAGCAGAATCAAGGTTTTCGATCCCCCTTCACCTTCCAGGTGGGGTTGGGTGGGGTTGGTGGGGTTGGCTGTGCTCAGGCCTTTAGCTCTCTGGACCTCTGCCGGACCAGTGTTGGGGTCCAAGGTGCCAGGTCTCCGACTTGAATTGGGCTGGCTTTCGGGGATGCCGGGGCTGCCAGGCTGCGGACAGCGGTGGGCAAACTTGCCTTCCTCGCAGGCTGCAGACGCCCTGCCTATCCGCCGCCCGAAGCACCGCCCGCTGCCCTCTCACCCGGCGGCGGCGGCGGCGGCGGCGGAAGCGGGGGGGCGGGGCCGGCAGGCCGGGGCGGGGCCGCGAGAGGCATGGAGGAGGCGGAGGCCACCTCGAGCCCGGCTGAGCAGTGCGGGCCCGAGAGGCGCCCGAGCGAGGCTCGAGGTCCCTGAGCCGTGAGTGCCTCTGGACGGGGGTCTGGGAGGTGGAACTCAGCTGGGCCAGGTCTCCCCAGCCTTCTGGCGGCCCCGATCCCTGGGAGAAGAGCGGGGCCAAATAGGATGGGGCAAGGGGAGGGGACCGAGGCAGGCAGATCGCTGTTTTTTGCCCACTCCAGCGCTGGCAGGGACTGGGCTGGGTTCGTCCTTTTAGGGGCTTGAGAACCTATTATTTGGCCTCCACTCCTGGGTTCCTGATTCAGATAGTTCTCCTAGCCCCAGGGAATTTCCAGGTGATCCAGTCACCTGAAGGTTGAGCATCTTGTCCCAAATCACACAGCAAGGGTAGAGTTGCTGTGAGGACCTCCCTTATCTCTTCAGAAGGCATCAGACTTTTGGGAGGAGCACCTTACTCCATGTGATTCTCTGATCCCCTCAGATCCCTGAAATCATGGACTGGCCAGGACAATAGTGACCTCCTTATCCGGCATGGACGACTGGAAGCCCAGCCCCCTCATCAAGCCCTTTGGGGCTAGGAAGAAGCGGAGCTGGTATCTTACCTGGAAGTATAAACTGACAAACCAACGGGCCCTGCGGAGATTCTGTCAGGTATAGAGGTGTCCCAGGGGCCCCTCTCAGCTTTCCCTAGTCTGGACTATGGCCACTGGGACCCACCTTGGCTGACCCCAAGCAGAAAGAGACCGTAGGTTCCTAGAGGGGAAACCTTTTGGTCATCTTCCTCCCAGGTAATGGTCTAGACCCCGAGTTCTGGAATCAGAACCCAAGTCCAGTCTCCTAGGCTTCTGACAGAAACCTCGAGACTGGTCAGGAAGCCTGTGCCCAGGGATACACACCTGTCAGGCAGTTAGGCTGGGATCTGGGTCTTTTGATCTTCAGCTTAGCTCTGAGCATCTGTAGCTGAAGCACCTCTAGGAACTAACCACAGAGAGATCAAAGAAAGTCAAGGCCTCAAATGGAACAGTACAAGAGCTCTGGGTAGGGAGGGTCCTGATGAAGGGGGAAGGAATGGGGAGGTCCCCTGGAGCAGGTGACAATGAAAGTAGGCCCTAGACTAGGGCAGACATAGAAGAGACAGGTATCAAATTCTCCCTGTGTCCTCACTACTACCAGGGTCCTCCTTTCAGGATCCCTTTATAATCAGACATAGTGTGCCTCAGTCATCTCCAACTCTCCCTTCAGACAGGGGCCGTGCTTTTCCTGCTGGTGACCGTCATTGTCAACATCAAGTTGATCCTGGACACTCGTCGAGCAATCAGTGAAGTGAATGAAGATCCAGAGCCAGAGCAGGACTATGGTAGGGGCAGGCTGAGGATGGGACCCCTGGGATTTCATGCCGAGAGTGGCAGGCGGATCCCAAAGGTTATGACTGCTGAGGAGACTGTGTCTGTGACCTGTTGCACCCCACAGATGAGGCCCTAGGCCATCTGGTGTCCCAGCAGCAAAGAGGCAGTGGTCCCCGGAGAGTGTTGGATGTGGAAGTGTATTCAAGCCGCAGCAAAGTATATGTGGCAGTGGATGGCACCACGGTGAGTGGGCTGGGGGCGCAGCTCACTGCTTGTGGGGTTCCCTATCTGAGTGGTAATTATAACCCGGTCAATTTCTAGCAGCCTGAGTGTGGAGCCCTTGGTTCCTCATCTTTAGTCTGGGACTAATGACTTCCCTTTGTCAGGATTAAATGAAAAAGTATGTGAAATATCTTATATGTAGTGAAATCTCAAAAATGATAATTAGGGGTTGGGGATTTAACTCAGTGGTAGATTGCTCGCCTAGCAAGCATGAGTCCCTGGGTTCAGTCCTCAGCACCAAAAAATTAAAAAGCAGAAAAAAGAAAAGATAATTAGGAGGTAGTTAATTCACTGTTTATTTTGTAATCATTCCCTGGTCCCTTCTCTGGCCTTAGCCTGGGGTTAGGCACTAGGGACTTGTTGGACCTGCCCTTCCTGGATAGAGTGGATAAAGGATTGTGTTTTCTGCAGGATGAACTGGAGATAATCAGTGGCTTTAGGAGCCATGGAAGTGAGGGCTATAGAGAGATTTGATCTCTTCTGATGGGGCTTCCGAGGAGACTTTCTGGAAAAAGCAGCTTTCAAGCTAAATTAGAAGAGAACTATGAGGGCCAGGGATTTAGCTCAGTGGCACCATGCCTGCCTCACAAGCGCAAGGTC